GAATGCAAGTTATGAAAAGCTAGCAAGACCATATCCAGTAAGTTTTCTATAACTTCTGCCTGGTTTTGATGTTCCATAAATACTAAATGCCTATCAATCAAAAAGCTCCCTTGTAATGACTTATTACAATAAAGGAAGCCACATATGCATACAAGAGAGGAGCTGCAGTTTTAACTTTCATTCAATGTCAATTTAATTTGAGTATCATTCCAACACCTAGTTTATGAGTTACACAAATTACAGCAGTGGTGTTTTTGCGAGGGTAATGGTAATGATGTGTCATTAATTCCTCAGAGCATATCATATTTTCTGCACTCATGATATAGAAGAGGCCACATTGAATTCATCTTTTTCACACTACTGAAAATAGGCTATCTCCAATAAGCTGCTATAATAGGGGAATGACACAGAGTAAAACTGTAAGCATGCTGTCATAATGAATATATGTATTTTTTATCATCTATAGCATCACAATTATGCACACATAGATAGTAAATTAATGAAATGCTCTTCCGTATATATTTGGTATTGAAGCAGGAGAAACAACAAAGAACATTGGCTAATGCAGTTTTCCCAGTGTATTAGAATATCTCTATATAATTTGGTAAGAAAGACAAAGTGTTCATTTATCACTTAGGTTTTCAATCCCACAATGTCACCTATTAGTCTCAGGGTAAATGCATACTAATAATAAGATTCCTTCTGGTTTCTCTACTCAGTCTCCTATGAATTGTATTCCTGGCCTCTAGAAGCTGTGTTTCTTTTGTTTGATTATTCTTCTGGCACTGGTTGGATCCCACTTACATATGCAATTTAACATGATGGCAAAAATATACTTAAATAAATGTTTTATGCAATCAATATTTTCACCTTTTTAATTGTCACTTAATTATATAATTTATATATGTTAAAGTATTTAATTGTTGTTACAGTCCTTAAATATTTGGCTTAGATTGCAATTATAAAGTAGTTCTTGTGTGAAAATTTAGTAAAACAATTTTCTACCTTTCTGATTTTATTACCTCTCCACAGTATTATTATCAACAGCAATTCAATGATAAAATTCCTAGATGCAAAACTATAAATTTCTTAACTTCAGAAAATCTTTTATTAGAAAATTATCTCCTCATTCTACCTAAACTAAAATTATGACAATATTGATATAAAAAATCACATCATATTAATAATGTAAATGATCCAAAAATAATTTAACCTTCCTTGTTCATGAATATTTACATCTTCTGGCTTCATTTGTCAAAACTGAAAACGTCTCAAAAATCTCTTTTCTTTTCTTGTCTTTTTTTTCTTTTGGTGTTGGATGATTTCATCAATTCCTGACTACATATTGAATAAAATAATTTTATATCACCCAATGTAATTACAGTATTTTCACACAGATTCAATTTCTGTTATCTGGAAAAGTATTTTAGAATTTAACCTTCCATCAAAGTTGAAGTGGAAATTAAAAATTTTAACAAATTTGGGAAGTAGATTTAAGAAAGACCTGTGAGTGTACTTATTTGCATTTGAATTCAATTGAAATCCAATAGAGCAGAAGCCAACAAAGTTTTGAAGATAGTTGCTTTGTCAAAATAACCACAAACACTCCCAGAACAAAATAAATTGTGGCCCTATTGAGACTTGAGGTATCCCTTTGTTCTCCAGGTGACAAGTGTCAGTAAATGGAAGAGCTGTTTAACAACTTTCAAGGGTATATTCTGTGCTTCAATTTAGACAGAAAGGATAAAAAGAATCTGCCCTAATGTCATGTGCACATTTAAGGAGAAAAACTGAGTGGGATTCTCACTTAGGAAGTTTAAGGTCTAACTCAGGAATATTTTCCAAATTCTGATTAAGGACCCTGGCTAGACTTGTGTGGGGAAATTCAGAATTCCTCTGTATCACCATCTACTCCATGGCAGCAAATATTCTGTCCACATTCAAATAGTACATGTTGGCCTGAAGCTGCTTCCATCATTGTAGAGTTCATTTAGTTTTGTGAAAAATATCTTCCTGATTTATAGATCTCTATACAAAGACAGCCACAACTTCACATGAAAAACAACAAATACACAAAGTTTCTGGAATTTGAGGTTGGAATACAGCATCTGAATGAAAATTTTGTGCTGTTACCTAGAGAAGAGTGAATGTACATGCTTATAGTAAGGCCACAAATATGTGGAACCTGTGGCTACTATTACCATGGTCCTCCTAATATTGCTGGTTCTCCTTCTAGGAACCTAATATGATTTTTTCACTGCTCCACACCATTGAAGGCCCATAGAATATGAGTAGAACTGACATTTGTCAGATCCAGGTGGAAATTTAAGAACTAGTGGACAAGCTATCAGTGTCTCTCTCTCTCCCTCGCTGGGGTCTTACAATAGGCATCAGTTCATTTCCTTCCAGTGTCTACTCTGTTAACATGAGTTGCGGAGTGAGGGTACACAAAGTACAGTCCCAGTGGACTTGTGGGTAGAGATGAAGAAATCATTTGCTTTTAAGATAGCAAGATCTCTGTAATTTTTTTTTTAAATCAACACCTAACTTAGTTTATCTCATAGATACAAACACCTAGTGTAAATTACTCACTTAAGCCCAGGAGGGGAAAAGTATTCATTTAAACCCAGTTCTATATTTCATGTTAACTAATCTAAGCATTGTCTTAAGGTATATTCAGAATATGCATCTTTAATCGTTGCGTGTAGAACACATTGTGAATTTCTGGTCCATGTTCTATTATAGTCAATGCTAAGAAAATATAGTCATAGTGAAAGGAAGATTTCTTATAAAAGGAAGCAAAGTGTAGATTCTACTGAAAAAAGCATTCCAGTTCCCCTGTTTGTCATTAGAACTTTATAAAAATGTTGAAGTAATGCATTTTGCATATTTTTCCCTCCACGATAATGTGATTTTAGACACAGAAAATACCTAGGTAGGTGCATTTTGCATTTAAGAATATTTCCCAGTGAGAAGCAATCAGCAAGACAATTGTTATCTTGTTGCAAAAAATGCCTACCAAGAGAGTACAGAACAAAAAATATAGCTTGCTTTGCATCTATCAATTTTATTGGTGAAGAAACAACTACTATTCGTTGGTTTAGTTTAGAAATAGTTTTGTTACAGATTTCCTTAACATGAAAATGTGCTTCTTGGGATTTTCTCAAACATGTACTAAAATAGAAAAAAAAAGTAAATGCTTGAACATAAATGGATCTCTAAAAGAAAGTTGCTTCCTAAAATCCTATTTATTATGTAATATGTAGTGAAAGTAAAATTTGCTAAGATTAGTTTTGAGATGTGAAGTTTATCAAGACTCCAACTTTTTAATTAAAGCAATGTATAGGGGCTGGGGATTTAGCTCAGTGGTCCCGCCACCTGCCTCACAAGTGCAAGGTTCCGAGTTCGATCCTTGGTACAAAAACAAAACAAAACAAAACAAAACAACCAATGTGTGTTTCACAACCAAATCATATGCCAAATAATATTTGAATTGACAGACTATATATGTTCTTCAAATGCTGTTTTATTTAGTATTTATAATGTTTACATGTGAATGAAGTTAAGATTCAGTAGCAAATATGAATGTATATTCATAGCAATATAATTACACCTCAAATTCAGTTTTTGGATGAACTAAACATCAGTTTTATTTTGAAAATATGGTACAACTTTTACATATTTGAAATAATTTTCTGAAGGGTAATTTTGTTTCAAATCTTGAATATTCACATTAGATGTTACATTAACTTGGGGCTCTTTGAAAACAAGCCTCAGTATTCATTATATTGGATTACCTCATAATATTTCCCAGTGGGAATGCTAAAGTGGCTCACAGCCAACCTTACAATACTACTGTCACAGCCTGTTATACAGAATTGCCTTGTCACATATTATAAATGTCTTTATTTTTAATATTTTATTGAATATCCATGATAAAATTAAAACAATTTCATTACTTATGTCATGAAGCTAAAGTCAAGTGCCTCTTGTTTAGTTACAAAGTTCAATTGCAAATGTCCCAACTAATAAATTAAGACATCCATTCTCATATGCAGAAGTGCTGGTTGTGTGTACTTCTGTGAAGTGCACTTTAGTCATTTTAATGTGAATTGCAGATTAAGTTGATAAAGTACCATTGACTGTAAAGAAAGTGCTTGTGACAATACTCACTATCAAACAAAATTATAATAAATATACAGTTGCAAAATAAGCAAAAGCTTGGAAATAAAAGAGTTAGATCAGAAATGGAAGACACCCAAGATGTTCTATTGAGGAACAGCTAAATGGTTAACTTCACAGTATTCAAGGAAAATTTCAATTTTTTAAGGTCCTTAATATTCATCATTCCTAACTTTTAATGCCAAAATTCACTCTTTAAGTAAAGATGTATTTGTATCCACATATTTTATTTTAGGTTTATGCGGTCTTTAGAGGAAACAGCTTTTACTGCATCATACAGTGGAAAGGAAGAGTTAAGGCAGTCGATACACTAGAATTCAGGATGCAAGTGCTGATAGGGAGTAGCAAAGAGCAAAGGAAGTTCAGGACCTCTTATTCTTTTGTCTGAACTTTAAAGAGATATTATGTGCAAGATGAACAATAATAAAAGCATATTCTTATTTCCCTTTGCTTAGTTCCTGATACAGCACTCATGTAATTAATAGAGTAGTCGTCAAGAAAATGACTTGAGTGCACAAAGCCCTGCCAAAATTAATACCTGACTTTTAATATTAATTTGATTTTCTAAACATTTTTAGGAATAAAACAATTTAATTCTTTTTGCTATTTGAGGTATGATCTTCGTGGTGGCCATGAGAACCTCCACTATGACCTACTACCAAAGAGAGTATAGTTTATGGACAGACTCGGTTAATATTGCTCTGATCTCAACCCCAACTTGGTCAGGTTGCTACCAGCTAGAGACTGATCATGGCAAAGATATCATTGCATTGTGATTTGTCCTTGCTGCTTCCAATTTCTCACATTTATTCTTTCAGACACTTCCTCCAATGAACTGCTTGTACCGTTGATCCCATTGTGATACCTGCTTAGAACAAGCAACCACCACAATTGTGTATATCTTCAACAAAATGCTGAAAAGAAACACTTTCTTGTCTTTCAATTGAATATTTTTATTTCATATAATGCTAGTAGAGAACAAATAAACCTATACTATTGATTTATTTATCATGAAATATTTCATTATATACATTGTGATGTGTTATGTGTTTTTTTCTTTAATTAGAAAACTAATATTATTACTTCTTAAGTTTAGAAATACTACCTTAGAAATTTATGCTTCAAGATTCTGGATTTATGTACAAAATACCCTAAAAAGGAACTATATTCCTGAGATGTTCACAAACAATGCATTAAATAAATCAGAATGAATATTTGAGTTTATTCTTCGAGGGGGCAAAATAAAATAAATATTTCAATCTTACATGACTTGGAAATAAATGACTAAAGAAGTGTGGCTTTCTGGGAGGAGTGTATAGGTACATTTACCCTTCCATTCATCAGATATGATTTCTTTTTTTTTAAATTAGTTTTATTGGTACATTTTAGGTATATAATATAATGACATTCATCATTGGAAATTTGCACCTCTACATAATCTCTTGATTCTTACTTTTTCCCCATTCCCCTGCCCTTCTTTCAACCCCTCCACCCCTCCCTATTTACAAAGACTTTCCATTTTTTCATTTTCTCATATTAATTTCATTCCCTTCTTTCCTTTTCCCTGCCCCTCCCACTTCCCATTCCCCTTTGCACCTTTTCTTCCTATTTCACATTATCTATTATACCTTTTAGTCTTTATTTATGCCTTCAGTTTCTCACACTAGAAAAACTATTCAGTATTTACACGTGTGTGTCCTATTCATTTCACTTAGGACTACCACCTCAATGTGCATCCATTTAGCAATAAATGTCTCTAATTTCCATTTTTTATGGCTGAGTAGTACTCCATTTATAAAAAACCCCACATTTTTTATGTGCATCCATCTTCATAGCAGCACAATTTGTAATAGCTAAAACTTGGAAGCAGCCCAATTACCAATCAACTGGAGACTGGATAAAGAAGATCAGATATGATTTCTGTTAGCTCACTCAATGCATCCTAGACACTACACCCTAGACTTAATGGATGAGTCTCTCTTTACTTTACTACCAATTCCTAATTTTTCATTGAATTATTAATGGGTCTAGTGGTTGTGAACCTTTTTTATTGGTTTTGTTTGTCTTTGGTTTACGAGGTTGGAGTGGAGCAGGAGGAGCAATGAATAGTAGAATATATAAGGGCAATATTGTGTTGAAGTGATTCATAAGCCCTCTTTCATCAAATGCTATTGGAATTGAATAATGAAGGCTTGTGAGCTAGAAAAATGTAAAATGAAAATTTTATTTTCATAGTGTATGAAAACAAGGTTGTACAAAATATTCTTATAATGAAAAATTTAAGGATGTGATAAATGCCCGACATAAAGTGGAAAAGACTATTATAATTTCAAAGTACTCTGATCATCTATGTTAAAGAAGCTTTCTTGGAAAGACATGAGCATCTTGTTGGAGTAGTATCATAACAAGGTAATACCCTCAGTACATGAGGTAAAAGGACCCAAGTTACCCAAGTTATTTAGATGAATGCATCAAGAGTTATCATGGTTGGAGTGTCTCTGAGGAGTAAGGAAGAACAATTGTCTACTCTGATGTTTTCTTTTTCTCATTGTGTAAGAATAAAGAAGAAGCTGGAAAGATTGCTGGTGAATCAATATATTCGTGGAGAAATGAGTCTAGTTAAAACAAGAAACTTAAGAAAATGTTCACAAATGACGCCTTGGAGAACTTTGCTCATAAATGACTGTGAGTCCAGGGAGGATACTGGAAGGCAGACTACTGTGACAAAGTATGTTAGGCAATAAGGGTGACCTGAAAATCTTACAGTTATGATTTGACAAACAGAATTAAATAGCAGAGCTGAGATGAGGCCCACTAATCTCTAGGTAGATAGTGAAGCTGAGACTACACTTAGTGTTGTTGGAAGAACGTTGAAATGGTGAGATCTCTCCAGACAGTATGATTCTCAGACTTTCTTATGTCCTACTCATGACACTGTGGAAGTTGCAGAGAGGAACTTCATCCAGAGAGCATAAGGACTTCCGTGACTGCCTCTTCAATTCTGCTATCGGAGGCAGTCTAGGGGAGGTGTGGTCTTATCCACGTATCTGTTCCTCCTTCACTCACTGAAACACATTTATAAAACTGGGCCTGGGATTTAGCTCAGTGGTTCTGCTGCCTGCCTCGCAAGGACAAGGTCCCAAGCTCGATCCCTGGTACCAAAAACAAAACAAAACAAAACAAAAAAACTACCCTAACAATTTCAAGAAAACAACCTTATGTTAATTTTCAACACAGTCCAATCTTTCATGGTACTGGCAGCAAAATATTTGTTTTAGCTAAGGAAAAATTAATAAGTCTTTCTGGCAGCAGGAGTATATTATTTAGGGTACTCTAGGGAAACAGAGTCAATTGAATATATATGTGTGATTATGCACTGGAATTCATTAACTAGGCTTACAGGATCAGAAATGAGAGAGCCCACAATGGCATTTGTGGGACCAGACGCAAGAGAGTCCGCAATAGTCACTTGAACATTACAGACCCAGAAGATACAGGAGATGCTTGGCCAAGAAGGTGGAGGCCACAGGACAGGAGGATGCAAGGATACAGCACTTGTCCAAGTTTGAAGGCCTAGAAGCTCCCTGGATAGTTACCAATATGAGTCTGTGTTAGAAAGCTAAAGAAACTGCAGATCTGGATACTGATGTCCAGTGGCAACAGCAGCAGAGTATACACACAATTAGGAAGACGGAAGTTCTTCAAACTGTGGACAGTTCCTTGTTTTCTCCTCTTTTTATTCCATCCTGGCTACAACCCCATTTGTTAGTGCCACCTACATCAGGAATGAGTCTTCCTCCCTGGGTTGACTGGTTTATATATCAGTCACCCATTCACAGTTCTGTTAGATAATGTGTAGGATTTCTGACCCCAGAGAATGCAAGATGTACTTAGGTATAATAAAATGGAGCAGTTGACCGTTCCAAGGAATAATACGTGTAATTCTATTGTTTCAAAAACACATCATCTATTGAAGAATGAGTGAGAGAAGCTCACTACGATGATTATAATAAAAATATAATGGTACTTCTTTTTAAAAGGACAGTATAAGGTAATTTACCATGTATACATCACCTGTGACCCCAACGTTTTAAATTTTATGCTCTGTTCAATGGCAGTAGCAGGGAGTCTGGAGGGAGAATTCTCTCACAGATTTACAAACTACCAAAATGTTTAAACTTAACTAAATAAAAGACTATTTGCTAGCCTAGAGTTGTTTTAAGACAAATTCTTTAGTACCACCTCAACTCTTCAGCAGAGTGTAATATTTAAATGTAATTTTATGAGGTCTGGTGTGCCCACAATATGTGAAAACAATGATTAGTTTTTATAGAGTTCCTGCAACATTGCATTTAATGAAAGCAATGATGGTGAGCTCCTATTTACCTTTGTACAAGGTTTCTTAATTTAGCACTGTACCTGAATATGTGTGGTAGAGTGCAAGTTTTGCTTCTATAGTGTCTTAAAATATATTTTAAATATGGCCCACCTAAATGGGCCATTTTAAATATGGGCCATTTTAAATATGGCCCAAGTAAATGAAAATAGAAAAAACAAGTGATCACCTTCAGTACCATCAGAAAAAAAGTCAAATGTTACTTAAACAAACAGTGAGAAATGTGAAATAGATAAATTCTGCTGTAATACACAGTTTCTTATGATGGCTTTTTAGATCCAATATCTCTTGGAGATCTAAAGTCAGTTTTCAGTTGCAGTTTAAAAGACTGTAAAAATAGAGGATTTATGATTATATCATAAAGGATATCCTAGAGTATTTAATATGAAATATTTAATATGAAAATTCTCCAGCTCTCAGGAGCAGCAATTTTCAGCTCTATGTTCCAAGTGGAACATGTTGTCATCTCCTGAAGCATTGTTTATTATGGTGCTGAGTGTTGGTGTCCTTGGAATCAGTGTGGAAGTGTGAAAAGAAGTAAATCTGTTATCAAGGACAGCTGGATTTCTTGGGTCAAGGTTTAAAGATCAGAGCTTTCTACTCTTTTTAAATATTTCATGACTGATTTCTAGTTTTAGGCATTCAAAATAACTCCAAATGATGTCATCATTTTCTCAGTAGATTGAGGCTATCACTAGAAGTTACTGCAACAGAAACAGTCCCTCATGATTGGCAAGTTGGTAAGAATTAGAGGAGACTATTCATGCCAGCAAACACAGGACAATCATAAGTTTTTGAAATTAGACAGATGAAGTTTGTAATCTGTTGTTGCAATATACCACTTGTGTAAGTGAATTTTAACCCTACCTATGACAATTGGGAGATGATACCTGTGAAATAAGTGGCATGAATTTTGTAATGAAATAATTTGTTGATTGTGCAATTGTGTGATACGGTTTACATGTAGATGGCCCCCTAAAGTCTCACGAGATCATAGGTGGGACCTTTGTTTTCCAGGGTTTTTTTTTGTTTTTTCTTGGTTGGGGGGTACTGGGGATTGAACTCAGGTCCTTGTGCTTGCACAGCAGTTGGAGAAACCACTGAGCTAAATCCCCGGCCCCATAGGCGGGACATTTGGAAAGTGATTGAATTACAGTTGAGTTGCTGCTTGTAGGTAGAACCTGGTTGGGAGAGGTGGGTCACCATAAGCATGACAAAGAATGTTATATCTCCCTTCCAAGCTCTTCATTTTGTTTTCTGCTTCATGTCTGCCATGAGGTAAGTAGCTCTCCTCTGCCATGTGCCTGTGTCATGTCATTCTGTCTTGGAACCAGCCACTATGAACTGAAGCACAAGCCAAAATAAACCTTTGCTCCTATAAGTTTTGGGTATTAAGTATTGTATCTCAGCCATAAAGAGGGAAGTAACTAAGATTTTGATACCAAAGAAGTAGGATCATTGCTGTGACACTACTTGTCCTGTGGTTCAGAAACATTTGGAGGTTGTTTGAGGGAG